CCCCTCGCCCTCTGTGGGCCCTCCTCCCCTCTGCCCTCTGTGGGGCCCCCCTCCCCTCTGCCCTCTGTGGGGCCCCCCTCCCCTCGCCCTCTGTGGGCCCCCCTCCCCTCCATCCTCTGCCGGCTCCTGGCCTGTCTTTAGCTCACGTCGCCTTTCAGTCCCAGGCACATGTCTCTAATCACCTGCTCTCGCAGCCACGGGGATGCACCCCTAAATCTGCCCACTGCTCTGAGCTGCTGGTGCCTTCGGTGTTCCCCCAAGGACGGTGTCCCCCAGCAGGACTCTCACGTCACCAAGTTGTCCCTACTGTTCCCTGGAGGGAGGAGTGGGCTTTCTCCCTGGGGGGAGAAACTCGACCCACAAGGTAGGGGCCCCTCAGGGAGCCAGAGCTGGAACAAGTGTGGGGGGCTGGCTCCGGCCAGGCACGCTCAGGGTCAGCTTGGTGACAGGGCGTGCAGATGCAACCGAGAGGGCAGGTTAGACCCAGCCCGCAGTCCCCATGACACCCACTTCATAGGCTTCACTCTCCTGGACCCCCGCGTGGGCCTCCCGGGGAGAACCCCCCTGTCATGGATTGAAGTGTGTCCCCCAAAAATATCTGTCAACTTGGCTAGTCATGATTCCCACTATTGTATTATTGTGTTATCTGATGTGATTTTCTTATGTGTTGTAAACTCAGTCACTACGATGAGGTTATACTGATGAGGTTTACAAGATTAGATAGTGTCTTAATCCAATCTCTTTTGAGATATAAAAGAGAGAAGCGAGCCGAGACACATGGGAACCTCATACCACCAAGAATGCAGTGCTGGGAGCAGAGCGCGTCCTTTGGACCTGAGGTTCCTGCGCAGAGAAGCTCCCAGACCAAAGGAAGATTGATGACATGGACCTTCCTCCAGAGCCAACAGAGAAAGCGTTCCTCTGGAGCTGATGCCCTGAATTTGGACTTGCAGCCTACTGGACTGTGAGAGAATAAACTTGTCTTTGTTAAAACCATCTACTCGTGGTATTTCTGTTAGAGCAGCACTAGATGACTAAGACACCACCCAGCCACTGTTTGGGTGGGGTTGAGGGGAAGACTCCTTGGAGGCAGAGCAGCTTGTGGGGAATGAGGAAGGAAGGCAAGTGCAAGGAAGGTTTGGCGGGTGTGCAATTTAATTGAAATCCTCCCCACTAATTTTTTATTGTGTTAAAAGCAATAGTGTTCATTATAGGCAAAAATGGGAATACAGACGGGTCAGAGAGAAAGTCAGCACTGCAGCTGGCCTGGTCACTGCTAGGTAAGCCTCCGTGCTGCCTTGAAGACTTTCTCAGTGTGTTTGCACAGCACAGGGGTCGGGAAATCTTTGTGAAGGGCCAGATGGCAAATATTTCCGGCCTCTTCGTGCGCCATGTGTTCTCTGTCGCGAATCCTCAACTCTGCTGTCGAATCGAGACTTCACCTCAGATAGGACATGAATGGATGAGCATGGCCGTGTGCCATGGATTGACTGTCACTGAAAAATGAAAGCTTCAGTCCTGGCTCCCGGCTGTGCACAGACAGGTGTGGGGCGGCGGTCTTTTGAATCCGGCTTCTTCGTTCTGGGTGCGCACCTCACTGCTTCCAGCACGGCCCGTCTTTCAAACAGCACGTGTTGTGGCAGCTGAGCTTCCCCCTGTGGACGGACCATTGTTCATGGAGCCTTTTCCTGTCATTGCGTATTTACATTGATTCCAGTTTCGCCCAACAAGCAATCCTACTACACAAATATTTGTTGTTGATTTTCTCTGGAAATGGACATTTTAGAGGCTCTTAATGCACAAGGCCAAATTTCCTTTCTTTACAACCTCCCAGAAACAGTCTGACACGCACGTGGAAGTGTCTGACATGTTACTTAACTCTCTGCTGGTCCTCTCCCTGCGTATGTTGCAAGATGTCCCCCTGCTTCATTTGCCTTCTGAGTTCTAAATATTTTTTTTCAAATGAACCGCATTTGTGTGACCTTTCTCACTGTGGTCTTGTTACTCCCACCCAAGTGACTGGATGGGACTGTGCAGGTAAGGTAATTGTGGCCCAACAAGGGGATTGGTCAGTTTTGCCATTCCACTGGGCTTGAAATGAGCCATCTCAGAGGCAGGAAGGAGAGCATCCCACCACCACCAAGTAAGAACAGCCAGGAGCCAGCACGTTCTTTGGACCCAGGATCCCTGCACTGAGAAGCTCCTGGAAGCAGGAAACTGAGAGAGAGAGCAAGCTGTAACCCTGAAGACGGCAAGAAGTGGTGGCAGCACTGACCTGGCAGCAGGAGATGGCGCAGTGGGCCCACAGAAAGAGAAAGCTGAGTGCCTTTGGGCAGAGGCCTAGGGCCAGGGAGAGGTGTGCCCGTGAGCACGGTTGAGAAGAGGCTGTCCTGATGGAAGAACTGTATCCTGAGTGTTCCTGAGCCTGAATTATAACTGTTACTTCCCTAACAAACCCCATAATCCTGAGAGTTGTCTGTGAGTTCTGTGTGACCATTGCGGTGAATTATTGAACCCAACAGAGAAGTAGAGAGTGCCGCTGGAGGGATGGCTGGTATCAAACATGGTAAAGATGGTGGAGAGAGGAGGCATGTCTGACCTCTGCCTCATAGGGATCAGCCTTGGGCTGTTGTTCTTGATTCTCCCTCCCCCTTGTGAAGTTAGAGGAGGCCGGACTCTGCCACCACGTCATTTTTACAATAATCAACTAGTTTTTTTCTTTATGAGTTTAGTTTTGTTTTGGTTTAGTGGACATTTTTTATTTAGGAGCAAGGAGACGATAATATTTGTGGGCCAAAGAGAAGCAGCCCACAGAGAAGAAGAATGTGAAAGAGAGGAAACCACCAGGGCCAAATGTGGGGAAGAACTCAACAAGCCTCTAGCCTGGTGAGGAGGATGGACCGAAGATGTCCAAGGGGAGGATGGGGAATTGTCCTTCTCAGCCTCTGCTTCCTCCAAGAGGAGCCCAGGGTTGGGGTGACATGGGGAAGGGGCATCTGGGGCAGTGTTCACAGGATGGGGAGAGAGGAAGGTCACGGGTCATCTGTCCCTGCACAGCCAGGGGAGTCACAGGATGGTGAGAGAGAGGATGGTCATGGCCATGTCTTCACAGCCAGGGCATGAACAGTGTCCTAATGTTTGAAGCAGCTGGGCAAGGCGAGAAGATGTGATGAAGGTTCTCTCTCTCCACAACGGGTCTGGGAAGGTGACTGCTGTGGAGTGACTGGCAAATGGAGGGGGGGAGTTGAGGGGCTGAGAGGGTGAAGAGGAGTGGAGGGACCTTGGCCAGGACTCCTCAGAGGGAAAGGACCCCAATATGTACTTTAAAAAAAGTTGAATTCCAGGTAAGAAATATTAAATAGGACAAAGAAGGTGACCTTATGACCACCTAGGGTGCAAGTCACAGAAAGGATAACACCAACATATATAAAGCAAACCCCACATGAACTCCAAGGAAGAGTGGGCCCCTGACCCACCTAGACTCAGGGCAGAAGGAACAAGGACACAGGAATCTGGATAAAATTAATAGACAATCTCATGCCTAATAAAGTCAATCTAACACTCATAAGGAGTCCCCAGCTGGTGCAAATGATTAAGTTCTTGGCCTCTAATCAAAAGGTTAGTGGTTTGAATCCGCCCAGAGGTGACTCAGAAGAAAGGTCAGGCAACCTGCTTCCAAAAAATCAGCCACTGAAAACCCTATGGAGTGCGGCTCTACTCTGACACACATGGGGTCGCCGTGAGTTGGAATCGACTCCACGGCAGCTGGTTTGGTGTTTTTGGTTTAATATCTAATCAGGTCAATCTAGTACCTGATAAAATTGATGTAATACCTAACTCGATGCTCCAATGCTGTTCCTGTGGGGAGGAGCTCTGGCTGTATTTGGGCGAAGGGGACCAGAGGGGGTGCTAGCAGCTGGAATGGGGGTTCCCGGGAAGATCAAGTTAAGATCAGAGATGGGAGTACTGAGGACAGAGTCGACTGACGGAGGCTGAATGAATAAGCATCAAGAGTGGGCCAGGCAGGGGCAGGAGAGGGGACTCCTTTCCCGGCCCCCAAGTCTGTGGTGAGGAGGAGGCAGACACTATTCTCAGAAAGGCCCACCCTTCTGTTTATCTGTTAATGGCAAAGACTGGAAACAACCAACCACAGAAGAATCGTTCAGCAAATCATGAAATGTCCAAATATAGTTTATGTGCAACAATTTAAATGATATCACACATGAAGAAAGCAAAAAGGTCATTAAAAAGAAAGAAAAGACCAAAATGGTTATCAGAAACTTGCTCTTGAATGTCGAGTAGCTAAAGCAAATGGAAGAAATGATGAAGTAGAAGAGCTTGCGGTGCGATTGATTACTTTTGTATGGTCTGTC